AGTGGAGAGAGACTGATTTTTGTCTTTTGTTTTGGAAATATGAAAAAATTATAATAGCCCAGTATTCTCCTTTTAGTTCTTTCTGTGCGAAGAATAGCTTCCCTTTGCTTGCCCCGTTTGATGCTGTGGGGCTCATGATCACTATTTATTAACACTGGGCTTGTAGACTTAAAGGTGTAGCAAGTGTGGCCACTGCTGGGCTCATGGGCACTTCCTCTTGCCTGGACAGACAGGAAGAGAGAACTTTGGACATTGCTGTTCCTTTTACATTAGGTCTTCTTTGTGACATCATTTTAATGATCAAACTTTTATCCTAAGTTTTCTGATCTTTGAAGAAGTTAATCTAGCAATATCTACTATCTCTGTCTTTCTTCAGTGGACATTGTAAGGATAATTAAGGAACAGATGTTTTTAACTCAATGTAAGGGAGAAGCCATCAGGCTCGAAGGTATTACTGTTATTTAGCTCCATACTGTTAACATATGATCAAGAATACATTAATTTTGGCTCTGGCTGGTGTGGCTCAGTGGATTGAGCCTGGGCCTGCAAACCAAAGGGTTGCCGGTTTGATTCCCAGTCTAGAGCATGTGCCTGGGTTGCAGGCCAGATCCCCAGTAGGGGGCGCATAGGGGACACATGAGAGGCAACCATACATTGATGTTTCTCTCTTTCTCCCCTTTCCTTCCCCTCTCTCTAAAAATAAATAAATAAAATGTTAAAAGAAAGAATACGTTAATTTTGGAAATACTGGACAATAAGATCATGTTTGGACATCTATTCCTATTTAACCAGCACAATCGGATTTTGCCTGAGCCCTTCAAAATACCTCAATTTGTAGATTAAAAACAAATCAATGGGAAATGATCAGAAACTGTTTACTACATTTTTTACTTATCAGCTATTTTTTTTAAATTCTAAAAATAAGTGTCTTTTAAAAAGAGTTTATTAAAAAGCTTCATTTTCTGGAATGTTATACATCTGTAATACATAATAAATAATATAGCTGTTGGCTGCCTCCACTTTCATGCAAAATAAATGAATACATTTGGTGACATACATTTGAGGAGTTTAGTTCTTGTAATTTTCACAGAAATCAGGAACAACTTTGCATATGATAGAAATTTTACCATCTGCTAGTAACAAAGAAACATAGCTTGTAACACAAGGCTCTTATTGAGTCTAGCATATATACTTGTATTGGCATGCCAGGATTCAGAATTCTCTGTAGCTCAGGCTCCAGAAAAGCTGGCCTGTCAGCCTGTCAAGGGAAAGGTTCCTTTGCTTTTAAAGCAGATGGCATGGTCCTCACATTGTTTGAATAACAGAGGAGAGAAGGGAGCTCTGAGTTTCAATGGCAACAAATCAAGAGAAAGGCATTCTCCAGGATTGTGAGTACCTGCACAGATTTCACTTGTAATTAGTGAACTCACTGTTGAGAAGATACTGTCTTTATGAATCAAAACATTTAGTGTTGGTAGAGATCTAAGTTCAGATGTTTAGGGAGAGTTGGGGGATGGCAAGTACAGACTTTCTATTACAATGACATTGACTTTAAGCAGGTGGCATTTTAACTTCCTAGTTGTGACATGATACGTGGGGGTTGTGGTTAAGGGTAAGGTGTGGATGGGTTGGGAAGAGCTGAATGCTTCATGGAGACTACAGAGATGCCTACCAAGGAAGGGGACAAGATTCCTCTGGAAAGGAAGGTCTTGTGGAAGTGTTGTCCCTCTTAAGTTTCCTTTGCTCTCATCTGGAGAAGGGGGATGATTGTCATTTTTGGTCATTTTGAGTTTATCTGATGGTGTGGAAGGTACTGCATGACACAAGCACCAGGGTGGTCCCATAAAAGATGGCCAGTGCATTTTGTTGATATACTATGTGTAGGTGGTCCTAGGTGTGTTCAGTCCTGTTTAGTATTAGAAGCTGTAGGCTAGGTATGCAGGCAGGACCTCATTAGAGAACTAGTTAGCAGCGGCCTGCATCTTGGGGTGCTTTTGGTTATCATCAAACTTAAAGGGGTTGGGGAATGAAGCAAGTTTTATTAAGGAGGAGGTGGTTTCTCCTCTCCTCCATCTTCTCCCTATTTGGAAGTGATCCTTCTGACCCCAGAAATGTAGTGAATCTGGTATCTGCCTAATTCATTTTTATTTTTTTATATATTTTTAAGATTTTATTTATTTATTTTTAGAGAGGGAAGGGAGGGAGATAGAGAGAGAGAGAGAGAGAAACATCAATGTGCAGTTGCTGGGGGTCATGTCCTGCAACCCAGGCATGTACCCTGACTGGGAATCGAACCTGCGACACTTTGGTTCGCAGCCCGCGCTCAATCCACTGAGCTATGCCAGCCGGGGCTCATTTTTATTTTTATCTAGATGCCTTTGTCTTAAACATATAAGCCAGGTTGCAAACTGCGTGGGGTTTATAAATGTGTTTTGTTTTCATTGCTACACTCCACATCGTCCCTCCCTTTTCTTTTCACACCTCCTGTTTTGGAGCCCCTTTGCACCTCCTTGTCCTTGGGGGCAAAAAAGCAGACAAGCCCATGCTCACTAGAATACAAGGACTGATCAGGTTTAAATGTTTTCCCTTCTTGTGGTGTCTGCATTTCTTACAGGGGAGAAGACATCTTAAACCAGAGGAATGACTCTTTAGTTGTGGAATTTCAGTCATCAGCCAGCCGATGCAGGAGGTATTATTTTGGGCATGAGGGCCTTCTCAGAAGCCCAGTATCACCCTAAATGACCACCTGCCTGCTCCATGTTACATAAGACCATGTCGTGCATCACTTATGTGTTTGGTTGGCTTGACCCGCCTGAGGGCAGGGAGCATGTTTGTGGGAGTCTCTGTGCATGGAGTTGGGCACAGCACACTGGGTGCCTCACAGGTGGCTGTACATTCTGGCGAGGGGAAGGAGTGTGATGCATGCAATGCAAGCTTTTTTTTTCTTACTGCACATGCTGGTATTGGTCCAAAGTTAGCAAGTTCACAGTGAAACTGGAATTCTCTTCTCTGTGAAAGCCCACTTTGTATCCATCCATAGCACGAGTCATGTGTCTAGAGAAGTCTCCATTTGAAATCCATAGAATGTTCATGAAAGCTGGGGTTTCATATTGTGAACATCCATAAGGAGGGCAGGACAGTTATATTCCCTCCATTGAACTAGAAGCCTGTTTTTGAATAAAAGTGTCATTTCCATCTTGTGCCTCCCTTATGCCATTTAAGTGTCACCATAGCCACGCAGAGAGTTCTTTGTGATGGCAATGTGAGAGCTGTGAGCCTCTCAGTTAGGCCGTGGCCGCAGTCTCTCTTTATATGAAGGTCACTGGTTGGACTCCCAAATCTAATAACTTTGGGTAATGTACTAAGGATGAATTAAAATGCTAATAGACTACATGTTCTTTTTTTTTTTTTAACATTCCCTACTTTTAAATTTAAATGCAGTGCCCTAGGTGCTCTTACAGCCTCACCGGGAGCATTTTTAGCTTTGCCAAGGAGACAGCGAATTTAAAGTATGTTCTGGCCAATGGACAGAGCTAGGAGGAAAAGCAATATTTATTTTATGATTATTTTATTTGTGCCCTCTACAGTTATATAACACAAATATTCTCTCTATTCTCTCTTTTACTCAAGATAGCAATTCAGCTAAAAACAAAACAAAACAAAAAACCTTATTATTTTCTTAAGTTTCTTTGAACCCACAGACCCTTTCACTATTAACAGTATTTAATAGCGATACATTGGATTTGGGTACCAAAAGCCATTCTGAAGCCCTTTTTATAGACTACCTTCATGTTTAAACCTTACACCACCACCATGAAATATCCTGTTCTATAGTGGAGGCAGTGGGGTGCAGACGCAGCATGTGGTGTTTTCGTCTTCACATCACTGGTGAGGGGAGAACCACAGCCAGTAGGTCATTGTCTTGCTCCCAGCTTGAGCATCTGCCCTCAAAGGACCAAGTGGGGGGTCTAAGCAAAATGATAGTAAGTCACTTAAATGAAATGCTTCTGCTAGGAAACAAAGGCAGTGCTCATTTTGAGGGACATACACATTTTTTGTAATTGGTTGTGTTGCTTCTGTGTGTACACTGAGGCCAGATTTATCTATGAGCTGGAAAAAAAGTGTTTCCTTCTTTCACTAAACGGGTCACTTCCTTATCATTAGTTGAATTAGGCCCTTTATTTTCTCCTTAATGGGGGGAAGGAACACTATTTCTTCCTTAGTCCTCCCAGTTATCTGGTGTCTGGTCACTTCATAATTGCATTTTAGGAGAAGAGATATTAATTTTCTCCAACGAAAGGCCGAGTTCCCTGATGACACACCATAATTCAATTTCCGTTCTCTCCCTTCGTTGCCTGTACCTCTTCCTCCTGGCACATTTTTCATAGTTAGGAGGAGTGATAGTGTCGAATATATCAAAAGGAAGAATTGATTCAGTTCTAGTTTGACGACTTGACTGATTAACAGAGATCAGAAGAAGGCTCATAACTGTGAAAGCCACTGCAGCATGGAGTTTTAACAGCTCTTTAGGGAGCTGGTTAATGAAAGAATCACTACAGAAACACAGTCATGCAAAAAAAAAAAAAGGAAAGATCAGGAGCATTCTCATATAATGTTCGAAGACTATGTCATAGGAGGAAATGTGCTCATAATTTCTATTTACACATTGCAATAATTACTGCCTGCCTTAAGATTACTTTCAGTCTTCTGCTGTCAGAGTTGCTTAGATATTTCCTCTTTCACATAACAGGCAGAGAGGTCTAGTACCGGTTAGAACTTGTCCTAAGGACTTTTTTCCTTCTAAAAAATGTAATTATCAGATACCTGAGCCTGTACTGCTTGATTAGACCAGTTTTAATCTGATCCATGTTCTTGTTATCATCACCATTTGTCCATGAACCAGACTTCTGCACTTGGGTGAGTGTGAGATTGTACTTTAGCCTTTAATATATGTATGTGTGTGTATGTGTGGTTATTCTCTTTTCTTTCTCCTGATGCAGTGTCTATGAACCAGATAGAAATGTGTTACGGAGGAAAGAACGAGAAAGGAGAAATCAGGAAACTCAACAGGATGATGGCACATTTAATTCCAGTTATTCCCTCTTCAGTGAACCCTACAAGGTAAATGGTTTTCTGTTGTTCATCTCCACCCCTCACTCATTGGTCCCTCACTCATTGGTCCCCCCAGGATAGCAGTCTTGACCAGAAGAGTTGACCAGTCAAATTTCACTTAGTTTTCCTCCTGTTCGGCCTAGGAAAGACAACCCAGCCACTTAGAATGAGGCCTTCCCTGACAAATCTTGGTGTCAATATTGAGAGTTACTTGCTATAATTTTTATCAATAATATAGACTTCATCTCTGCATTAATTTTCAAAGTCAGTGACATTTGTTATGTTTTCTAAGGTGTTAGGAAACAAACACTATTTAAAAAGGTTGGGTTACATATCTGTCACATGTGGATCATGCTGGGATCAGAGTCATCTCATAGGGCTAATAAGACAGAAACTTGAATTGGTTTTCATTACAGAAAGGCCAGAAGTATAGCTACTTTTTCAAAATGGAATATCATCCCAGATCTCAGTAGTATCTTAGCTTAGGCTGCTTGGAGCAGCTGTGTATAGTTTAGGCCTGCAGCTTCGTGTGCATTTAGCCCCATATTCATTTTAAACTTCACTCTGCCTTTTCTTGCCTATCACCATTACTCTGACAAGAATAATTACATATTTAGAAATTGGAAAAAGAACAGTTTGAGCCAAATCTGAATTTTCAAGAAAAGCCCCAAATGGGACTACAAAAAAGAAAAGGAGACACTCCTGGAGAGTCTTAATCTGAACCATTTTATGAAGTTGCACTAGTACAGTGTGTGATTTCCTCAGCTGCCACATAGTCCCAAGGACAGGTGCCTTTTTTGCCTACTCCAGGGCCCTTAGCTTTCTGGGTCTGGTGCAGTGCAGAGTGCTCTCAGACATCTTCAGAGATGACGATTTTGATTCATCCGTCAGCTCGCATTCTGCATGTGACAACCCAGTGCTCTGTGGTTGAGAAAGGCACCTCTCTATTATTTGCCGTGTTTCTGTTGTATCTAACAACAGGGTGTGTTTTTCTTTCTCCAGACTAACAAGGGGGATGAACTGTCCAACCGGATCCAGAATACCTTAGGCAATTATGACGAAATGAAAGACTTTTTAACTGATAGATCTAATCAGAGTCATCTCGTTGGTGTTCCCAAACCTGGGGTTCCTCAGGCTCCTGTGAACAAGATCGACGAACATTTTGTTGCAGATTCAAGAGCCCAGCCCCAGCCCTCATCTGTTTGCAGCACTGCATCTTCCACACCAGCAGCTGTCTCTGTGCAGCAGAGTAAGAGGGGCACCATGGGCTGGCAGAAGGCTGGGCACCCGCCACCTGATGGCCAGCAGAGAGCAAGTAAGCGTGGACACAGGTTGATTGATTTGAACAGATCTGCTAATCCAAAGAACCATAATAAAAAACCTAACCACTGTGTGTCAAGCCCCTCATCCTCACCTTCCTCTTCTTCTTCTTCTTTCAACTCAGCACAACAGGGCTCTCTCAGGACCTTGCTTGGAGATGGTGTTGGCAGGCAGCAGCCACGGGCCAAACAAGTGTGCAATCTAGAGGTAGGTCTTCAGACCCAGGAAAGGCCACCTAATATGCCAGCCAAGCACAGCAGCAGTGGACACTGTGTTCAGAATTTTCCTCCATCCTTGGCTTCAAAACCCAGCCTGGTTCAACAGAAACCGACCGCATATGTGCGGCCAATGGACGGCCAAGATCAGGCTCCTGATGAGTCTCCAAAGCTTAAGTCTTCCACAGAAACCAGCGTGCACTGCACGTCATATAGGGGAGTCCCGGCCACCAAGCCAGAGTCCACCAGAACCAAGGCCAAGCTTTCCAAGTTCAGTATCCCCAAACAAGCAGAGGTAAGTCTTTCCTCCTTACTGCGTACATGCATGAGTAGTTCTGTGTGACCACCTCACAGTTGTGAATTCAGTTTTCACATTTCTTTACTTCAGTGCGTGATTGACTTCATGTAGTAGGATTGTAGCAGTCCATAAGGAAGGATGTACTCATAAATAATGACTTCTTAAAATGTCAAATTGATTATAGTCAGATTGTTAAAATTCTAACAAATGTAATTGTATATGTGTCTCATTTAGTTCAAGAAGGAATGTCTCCTTGAATTTTGTTCAAGGGATATTTTGTAAACAAGCCATTGTTGATGGAGATATTAGATACTAAAAATAAAAGTACTTCAACAGCTGTAATTTTTAGCCCTGACTGGTATAGCTTGGTTGTTCGGGCATCAGTCCCACAAAACTAATGGTCGCTGATTTGATTCCTGGTCAGGCACATGCCTGGGTTGCGGTTCGTTCCCCAGTCAAGGTGCCTGCGGGAGGCAACTGATCAATATTTCTATCCTTCCTTCCCCTTCTCTCTAAAAATAATATATTTTTAAAAAAAGTTATAGCCCTTACTGATGTGGCTCAGTAGATTGGGCAGTTTCCTGCAAACTGAAAGGTTGCCGGTTTGATTCCCGGTCAGGGCACATGCCTGGGTTGTGGGCCAGGTCCCTAGCTGGGAGTGTTTGAGAAGCAGCCAATCAATGTTCCTCTTGTGCATCGATGTTTCTTTCTCTCTTTCTCCCTCTCTCTAAAATAAATAAAAGCTTTAAAAATCTTCCAAAAAGCTACAATTTTTAGTATGTAAGCAAGATAATTATTTTATGTAAAAGAGTTCAAAAATTTAACATTTTGGTCAGTTTTGAAGTGTTCCAAGACAAACTTTACAAAGTAAACCTCAGAATGATTTTGAAAGTAATTCTTAAATGATTCATTGATGATTATGGTGAATATTCAAATGTATCAGATGCCCCGTCCATATAATAATATTTAAGATCCAGGTTCCTTGGTGTTAATTCAGTAAGGACTCTCTGTGTCCTGTAAAAGTTATCTTAGGTTATATGAAGAGAATGAAACCTTTTAGTTCACATTCTCCTGGTTTGCATTTTGATTTTATTTAAATGTGAAGATTGAATGTATGGAATATTAGAATTTAAAACAAGCAAATCACATAATCACAGAGATAGCGAAGAGGCCATGACTAGTAACTTGAACAGAAATCTGGATGGAAAATGAAGTTTTGTTTTAGAGAAGCACATTTCATACTATATTCTTGATTGATGACAGTTGTCAAGAGCACATGAATAAGAAATATGACTGCACATGTTTTTCTTTTGCTGTGATATGGTGTACTAACTGAAATAAAATGTGAGTTCTAGAATGTTGTGCTTAAGAACTGTTCAATTTTTTTTTCTTCTTGGCATATTCTTTTTTTAAAGATGGAGTAAGAATGTGGCCAGAATAGTTTTTGTATCTTAATTTGATTTAATAACCAAATGAGGCAAAGAATTTAACATATCTTTTTGAGTATCTGACAATGCTAAACTTAACCATTTTTGAGCTATCATCTCAGAAAGCATCATGCACCAGTTGAGAAATTAACATATTACTGTTAGAGAAGACATTTTTTTTTAACTTTGAGATACACAGGTTCTTATGAGGAAATTAGATGATGTATGTACCAGTAACTCTTTTGATAATTCATTTATAATGGATCCCAGAAAGTGTTCATTAGGAATTAATAGGAGAAAAAAATATAACTTCTGCAAGAATTTATGTTTTTAAAGTTTGTAGGAAACACAAGTAGACACCACCTTACAAAACTGAATTCATTAAGCCCTTTGATGAATTTTTGTTATTGTCATCAAATGACCTACAATGGCCAGAAAAAAAAAGCATAGTTTATCCTTGAACAGAGGTGACTGCAGCCATCAGGAATCCCTTTGTAATTTTAATCCAGATTGATTTCTTGCTAAAATGATTTTTATGTACCAAAGAAACTTGAAATTTATTTCATAATAATTTCTTTATTTTAGGATCTAATGAGCTGACAAAGCTCTGGTTAAAAGCCGTGTTTGATCACCAATCCAGCTTATTAACTAGATAGTTTTTATTAGTTTTTTTGGGTGTGTTGTTAATAATGAGGACACTTTCAGGATGCCCTTGTAGGACCCCAGATTGGGAATGACGTACTGAACTGGTGTTTGGTAATCACAAGACGAAGGAAATGCCTGAGATAGAGTCAGACTGACAGAAATTAGAGCTTTGATACAGGAGGTGTTTCACTTCCCCATGTGTAATGACATTGAACCAGTCAGCCTGCGTCTTCCCAACATTCTACACCCAATACTTCAAAGAGCATAATCGTGAATTGATAGGAAAGAGGTAAGAACTGTTGTTCATAGTACAAAGTTATAACTGGTGGATTTTTTTGTTGTGGGATATACAGTGCTTACTTTAGCAGAAAGCTTTGCATTTTATCGAAACAGGGTAATTTGAATCTTGTTAACACTGCTGTGTTTCATCAGTCCACTATCATAATAACAAAATGACTCTTTCCAGTTAGTAGCAGGGTGGTAACCTGTGAGTTACATTTCCCAACCTTCAGACTCAAAGGGTTTTTTTTTTGTTGTTTATTTGTTTTTACTCCCAAGAAGTTAAATACCTTTTGGCAGCTATATCATTTCACAAAGCAATTTAATAAAATCCACATTATTAACATAGAAACTGAAGAATTTTATCAACCTGTCAGATTTTACTTTTGAGGGAATATTTGCTTTTGTTTTTTTTGGAGAGAATAAAACAATTTTTAAAATACCAATGCCCATTTTTTCTTACACATATACCACCTGTGTGAAAATATCCTCTCAGTAGTTCTCCAGTGAATCAGAGAATGTGTTTTTTAGGGAAATTGATAGAGGAAATGACCTGAAGGGAGCTTGTATTTCTCGACCATACTTTTCTAAGATGATAGCTGTAGAGCAAAACTATGGCAGTGTGAAGAATTTGGGAGCTAAAAGGAAGTGTTAGGGAAGAAGGGCAAAAACAGGGAAGGCACAGATACAGTTTTGTGGCATTGTATAGGTATGTTCCTCATGAGAAAATCAAGTCAATGCCTAGGTATAATGTGATGTGAGACATTATTTAAAAATCTAAGCTGTGGTCTCTGCTTCCAAGAAATTTAACATGAATTGAGTAAATTAAATGCCAGCACGTAGCTTATACTTTGCAATTTCTGTCACTTAAAGTCCAAACTAAATTTAAAATTATCTTTCTAGCCCTAGGACAATTCTCTCATTTTCATAATCCTTGTAGAAAATATTCTACATTATTTTTTAAAATTGAGAATTTGTGAATCTCTTCTGCCTGATTTTACTCTTATAAATTCTTCATTCTTTCCCTTATAACACCTGCACTCTATCTGCTGCCATGGCAAGTTATTTCTCGTTATTCTTTAGTCTTCTATAATAGGTAATTAGTGTAGAAAAATTTAGTGCAATTTGATGTGGAAGCTAAAGACCGCAAGGGAATTCCTTAACTGATACACCTGCCTCCTGGCTGGCCTTTCTTAGCTCAGTTTTGTGTTTAATGAAAAATATATTTTTGTTGTTATAGCCAAGTCTTTTACTCTTGATGCCACCCCTCATTAAGTGGGCCTTCCCTGGAGTGCTACTTGGTGGAAGGGTGACTACTGTTAGGTGAGAGTCAGGGGACTTAATAAATGACGGAAGCCTGTGTTCTAGAATGTTCTAGGGTAGAGCACACTAAATCTTATTTCCAGTTGATGTGAATTATTTTTTGTTTCACACAGAAACCCAAAATTAATATTTGCCCTTAACATGTAATTCAAGATACAGATGTTGGAGACTATTTACCTAGAGGGCCAGATACAGGTTTTGTGGGACCCACAATATATACTGTTTTGGGAGTCCTCTTTAGAAAAAACAGAATAGGAAAACATGTTGCACTAGAAATTTTTCCAAAATCATGTATTAGCTCATTGCTAGGTCCCCTCCTGGAACCTTGGAGAAACCTCTATTCAGGAGGCCCTGAAGCATCTGTGTCATTAGCTTCCTGGTGTATCTGTCTTTGGCTCATGGAACAATAATAAATTATTATTAAAATGATAATTTTAGATTTGAAAAGAGTGCTTTATATTAACCTCAAACTTGATAGAATTTAACAATGATGCTAGGTGATGTAGGCAAGGCAAAAATGAGCCAATACTATGAAACAGTCTAATATGCAATACTATCGAGACAAAGTATGGGTCTCAGAGGCTGTGAAATTGTTTGGCAAGATTACAGTTTCAGCAGTAGTATTCCAAAACATACACAGTTTAGTCTCTGTTAGCTGTTAATTTAATAAATAGCTGTGATTTGAAACTACTCTTGCAGAGGGCTCTGATGGTTGTAAATAGAATGCATTTGAAAAGCCAGAGAAAGAAGGAAACCAGTGGCTGCTGCCCTTGCTTAGTGATAAGGAAAGAAACACCTAAATCCGAATTTCTGTGAATAGACTGTGTATGAGGAGTTTTCATCGTGGTTGAGAATTCATCGTCAAAAACAGAGTAACGATTTTTGGTTGATCAAAATTTTATTTGTTAATATAAATAATTAAATAGTTTAAGATGTATTGATTAATCATTGTGTTTTCATGATGGACATTTTAAAATCACTATTTATACGAGGAATAAGAACATAAAGTACAGTGATTCTACAAAATAGCTTCCTAGAAAAGCAATTAACTGATTTTTTTTATGTTCATAGAAGATAAATGGTGTAGGCTTCCTATTTCCTGTCACTCTTGGTTACCTTTGTATGAAAATGGATTTCTTCCACATTAAAGTTGGCACCAGCCTGTCGGACAAAAAAGGCATCTGCAAAGCAATGTGTACGTTACATATTTGTGCCAGTCCAAAGTTCTTAATTACGTTTGAGATGTCTAATGTTTTCAAATCCAGCTATGCTGTTTGATTGTGCATTGATGAAATGAGGGTGAGTGGCTAGCCTGGAGACTCA